ATACAACAAGACTGGTTAATAAAATAATAATTAGCAATATTCCCTGGTCAGACCATAACACATTAATTATGGTCATCAAGGATGACTTTGTTAAAACAAGATCAAACTGGAGATTAAACGAACAATTGTTAAAATAAATCACAAAATGTGGATAATATTGAAAAGGCAATAGATAATTATTTCAAAGAAAATAAGAGTACAGAGATATCAGCTTCAACGTTATAATGCGTATTTAAATTTACAATTAGGGGTCAACTAATAAAACTAGGAACAGTAGAGAAAAAAAGAAAGACACAGAACTTAGCAGAATTGTATTTTAAATATGATGCGCTGGAAAAAAAGAATAAAATTACTCCTATGAAAGAAACACGTGAAGAACTAAAAAAAACTAGAGAGATAATTAATAATATCCAGATTCAAAAATCTAATTTAGCCCTAGAACGGATAGAAAGAACCTGGTATTATAACTCAATCGGATACTGCAATGAACCAAATATGGTATAAAATAGAGCAAAATCTATATAATGTAGAAAAAAAAAAAGGAGTTGTTGAGCACCTTATTTTGGAAAACTGATGACAAATACAAATATCAGTATAGGTTCGAGTCTAATAGTCTAATTTTAAATACTATAAAAACCATATGGAACAAGCTTAGAAAGTATTTAGAGGTACATGATAAAATTATTACTAGTCTTCCTTTCAGTCAATTAAATAGCAATATGATGGATTTAAATACCGTATTTATCGGCGTATAACACGCACCGGCGTATAACACGCACTTCATTTTAATAAGGAAATTTCAGGGAAAAAAAACTTAAAGGACCACTATAGTGCCAGGAAAACATACTCGTTTTCCTGGCACTATAGTGCCCTGAGGGTGCCCCCACCCTCAGGGACCCCCTCCTGCCGGGCTCTGGAGAGAGGAAGGGGTTAAACACTTACCTTTCTCCAGCGCCGGGCGGGGAGCTGTACTCCTCCTCTCCTCCTTGCTCGCGATGTCATCGGCTGAATGCGCACGCGCTTCAGCCGGTCACATAGGAAAGCATTTACAATGCTTTCCTATGGACGCTTGCGTGCTCTCACTATGATTTTTACAGTGAGAAGCACGCAAGCGCCTCTAGCAGCTGTCAATGAGACAGCCACTAGAGGCTCTGGAGGCTGGATTAACCCTCAGTATAAACAAAGCAGTTTCTCTAAAACTGCTATGTTTATAAAAAAAAGGGTTAATCCTAGAGGGACCTGGCACCCAGACCACTTCATAAAGCTGATGTGGTCTGGGTGCCTAGAGTGGTCCTTTAAATTTCAAATAAAGAACTTCTTACCCTTTCTTACTTCCCCTTCCCCCTCTTACTCCTTCTTACTCCCCCTCCCCCTCTTCTTACCCCCCATTCTTACTTCC